TTATTCTTAGCTTTGATATATTGTCTATTTCTTTTTATAATATTATTCCAATCACCCATTTTTAAAGAAATAAAATTAACATATATCTGTCATAACTCTTTCACCTGCAGGTTTTCTAGTATTAACGAATACATATCCATGATCATCTGGGTTTCTCCATTGTGCTTTACAATCCCTTTTGAATGTATCTCTATCCATTCTGTGATTAATTGACTGAATAATTTGAGATAAATCTTTGTCGTTCAAATCGAATAATAAAAAACAATTTGCATTTTTTCGAATGAACATTGCATCCATACCGTAGAAAGATTGGGATTGGTAAATACAGTGACAGTTGTGACGTCTTCCCTTCGTGAAGAATTCTTGTTGAACAGCTTGATATCTTTGTGCTACACAGTCGTCAAACACTATTAAGTTCTTTCGCTCACTATCAATTTTAGACAAATCTAAATCATTAACGTCTTTGGTAAGAAAAATTTTTATATCCGTTGGATTAAAGATAGATTCTTTTCTTTTATATATATATCTAAGATTTCTTTTATTTCTATTTCATCGTTGTTTTCATAATATTTAAATATGTCCTGAACGTCTTTCTTTGGTATATATTCTAAAACTTTCAGGAATTGATAATACGATTGTTCTGGTGTTGTTGTGTAGATATATAATGAATCGAAATCTAAAAGTTTTGGTGTTGTCAACATGTTAAAGGTCAAATAAGTTTTAGTAGTATATGTCTTTTCGGATATGACGCATTTCACTTCTGTAATTTTTCTATGTCTGGAATTAGTCTTGTAAGGTTTTCTTGCTGCATTAATTCATCATCTAGAGAGAAAACAATACCTAAATGCCCCAAACAATATGTAGGAGAAACTAAGAATAATTTACGAACTCGCTTTAATGCTCATAGGTCAGACATCAAATTAAAGAAAGACAAGCCTGTTTCTAATCATTTCAACCTCGACGACCATTCAATAGACGATCTCACCCTAATCCCAATTGAGCGTATAGAAATTAACTTGCCCGAAGATGAAACTACCAAATTCCGTCAATCTAGGGAAGCCCATTGGATTGAGACATTGAATACAGCAAGACCTATAGGACTAAATATTCATCATAATGTAGGCATAGCACCCTTTGTTGTCCCGTTTAATACAACCAGCAATCGAGCAAGCAAGATAGTTCGAATAAGAACGTCTTTCTTTGGTATATATTCTAAAGCTTTCAGGAATTGATAATACGATTGTTCTGGTGTTGTTGTGTAGATATATAATGAATCGAAATCTAAAAGTTTTGGTGTTGTCAACATGTTAAAGGTCAAATAAGTTTTAGTAGTATATGTCTTTTCGGATATGACGCATTTCACTTCTGTAATTTTTCTATGTCTGGAATTAGTCTTGTAAGGTTTTCTTGCTGCATTAATTCATCATCTAGAGAGAAAACAATACCTAAAATTTTGATTGACTTTTGACAAATATTAATTCCTAAGTGAGCTAATTTTTTGAAATCAGTGTTATTGGTATTTAGGTTCAAAGCTTCTGTTTTTTGGATATTAATTGTTAATCCAGATACTTGACTGAAAAGTTTCAGTACTTCAAATAAGTGTCTAGCTGAATTATAATCTCTTAGTAAGCCAGTTATATCACCAGCAAATGCAATTAGTTTAATTTGGCTTTTTCCAAATTTTATCCCCATTATATTATTATTATTTCTTATTAATTCCAACAGAATTTCAATTACGAGATTAAAAAGATTGGACGACATCGGATCGCCTTGACGTACGCCTCTGTTAACATTAAATGATTTCGTTGTATAACCATTATTAATTACACAACATGTGATATCAAAGTAAAGTGTTCTGATATATCTCACAAAATTTTTACCAAAACCAAATTTTAGAAAAATTTTGAAAAGGAAGTGGTGTTCAACACTGTCAAAGGCTTTACAGAAATCTATGGCTAACAGGAAACCAGTAACTCTCTTTTGTTTTGCAAGTTCGATTGTATCATTTATAATCCTTTTGAATGTGTCTACCTGGTATGGAAGCAGTTTGATTAGGATGGAAAAGTGTATGCAGAAGGGGCTTTAATCTGTTCGAAAATATTTTACTTAATATCTTAACATCAACGTTAATTAATGTAATAGGTCTCCAGTTGGATAATTGTGTTCGATCTTTATTTCCTTTTGGGATAAGTTTGACTATAGATTGCCTTTGGGTATCAGATAATTTTTTATTTTCCAAACTGTAATTATAAGAGTTAAGGAGGAAAAATTATATATATAAGGCCAAAATGTTTTTAAAATTCTATCGTTAGACCATCATTACCTGGAGTTTGTTTAATTTAAAACATTGAATCGATTCAATTATTTCAAAATAATCCACTTTATATTCAAACATATGTTTAAGATTTTCATCTATTTGACTTATACTAATATTATCTATAATTGAAAAATGTTCATGATCATTTTTTTGAATATTTGAAGAGTGTAGGTTTTTAAAGAAAGTATAAATTTCATTTTGTATTGAGGGTTGATCAAATATGGCGTCCCTATCCTTATTCATTAATTTCTGTATAGTTGTGTTTGTTTTATTTTTTTTCTCTAGATTAAAAAATATTTTAGTTGATTTTTCTCCTTCAAAGTAGAAATTAACTGGAGATCTAAGAATTGCTCCTTGCACTTCTATATCATATATATCATTTAGTTTGTTTTTTATAATGTTTAGCTTATTAATTTGTTCATCAATTATCTTTTCTGATTCTGTATTTGATATTTTATTTTCAATCTGTTTCATTTCATCAGTTAATTTTTGTTTCAGTTCTCTCTTAATTTTCTGCTTAGTTTTAGAATATTTTATTGTAGTTTTTCTAATATTATATTTGATATAATCCCACAAACCATTGTAATTTGATTCATCAAAGTATTCCTCTTTCCATATATCTAGACTATCAATTATCAATTTTTTGTAATTATTGTCTTAAGTTAAAAGTGAGTTAAAGATCCACAAATTTGGACCTTTTTATTCATCCCTTTAAATAAAATGGAGAGAAATAGCAGAATGGTCTGAAAAGGACGTTGGGATAGAGAAGCATTTTTCAATCAAATCTAGGTTGTTCTTAGATACTAGCCAAAAATCAATTCTGCTTTGTATTTATTTGTTTCCACGTGAAATCTTTTTTATCGTGATGTAGGTTTCTAAATATATCAACAAGATCTAAACTGTCTATTATCCCTAAAATTTCTTTTTGTCCGCGTTTTTTAATTGTATATCTCCCCCCTCTTCTGTCTAAAGTTAAGTTTAAAACATTATTAAAATCTCAACCTTGTATTAGTTTTGGGTTTTCATATTCTTTAACATAATATTTAAAAGTTCATTAAAGTAATAATATTGTTCTAAATCTGGTATTGGACTATAGATGTTGATTAATATGAAAATATTATTTTGTACTTCCACTGAGACAATATTGAAATATCCATTGATATCACATAGACTATTTAAAACTGTTACATCTAATGATGGTTTAAAAAATATAGCAGTGCCTGCTGAGTTTGTTCTTTTATGTGAAAATAATATTTTGCTTCCCCATTCCTTTTCCCATATATTTTCATCCGATGAACAGCTATGTGTTTCCTGGGTTAGGGTTATATCATGGTTCTGATCTTTGATCCAATTAAAGACTTTAAGCATTTTATTTTTATTTCTCAAATCTCTAACATTGACTGACAGTAATTTTATAGCAGTCATCTGAGTATATCATTATTTAAAAAACGTCCTATTGGTTACATATATCATCATAACATTGGGGTAAAAGTTGAGAAGGTCATAATTACATTGATTTGAAAGTGTAGAAAAGAAAAATATGTGTAGAAATATAATAGGAAAAAAATATAAATAAACATAAAAAGAGAAGGGTACATAATTGATTTTTAACATTAAAGACATACTATTTTTTTAATGCGGTTATTTTATACTGTATTATTTTAGTGAATCTTGTCTGTGGTTGGGTAATTTATATGGAGTCTGTTATAATACAGTTTGGGGAGTCTGTTATAATATATTTTTTAACAGTTTGAGGAGTCTGTTATTATACATTTTTAACAGTTTGGGGGGAGTCTGTTATAATACTTTTTAGCAGTTTGGGGGGAGTCTGTTATAATACATTTTAAAAGTTTAGGGGAGTCTGTTATAATACATTTTAACAGTTTGAGGAGTCTGTTATAATACATTTTAACAGTTGTGTCTTTTCGGATATGACGCATGAAAAAGCTGCGCATGCGCAGAAGTGAAATGCGTCATATCCGAAAAGACATATACTACTAGTTTTCCCAGAACCTGAGCTACGGCATATACACATGAGCATTGGGTTACTATGAAATATTTCTGAATGATTAAATTTCTTTCCCATTTTTTATTCTATATTTTTGTTCCAAAAATCACTCCTCCTCCTTTATACTTTGAAAGAAAGATTCCCTCTCCAGAACGTTTGTTTTTAAAAAATATAGCATTACCCTTATGTTTGACCTTCGTTTCTCCTGTGTCCATTTTATCTATTAGCTTACTTAATCCCTCTTTAACAGTTTTCTTGGTTTCTTCACTAAATCGATTTCCAAATTCTTTAATCGTCCCTAATATATCTGCTACTCCCGAACCTTGAGCTATTTTTTCCATTTCCATGTTATGTCTACGTTTTTCACTTTTTCAGCATCAGCTGTGTTCTTGGCGTTGATGGCTTGCTTTATCCCAGCCGCCCCACCAGCTGTCGCCCTGCAGCGGCCAGGCCAGCAAATATTAAAGGTATGAAAGGTAAAAATCCACCTTCCTTTACACTGTTGTCAATTCTTTCCATATCTTTACAATGTTTATATTTATCGATAATTTTTTTTAGATATTTTAATCCTTTTACCATTGTATGTTATTGTAGTTGGTGATTCCGTTTCGATAGCTCCTATTATTCTTTTTTGTAAAGTTTCTGGTTTCATATTTAAGAGGGTAATTTAAATGATTATTCTATACGAATCATCCGTCTTTCGGATATTTTAATTAAATGTTTTGCTTCTTCCAATAATAAACAATACCCGGTTACATCTCCTCGTGTTTTTTCAATATTAATATTTATGTTTACTCCTGTTTTGAAAAGATCTTCTTGATGAGCTGATGGATCAAAACAGAAGATTGGATGATTAAGTGCAAAATCTACATATTCAAACTGATGTGAATTTCCAAATAATTCACACATATTTTTATAGTTTCTATACAATTCATTATAATCCTTCATGGATGGATTAATTGTTAAAAGTTGGTTAGGATAATTATCGTTGTTTAATCTTACTTGAACTCTACGGATTATAGGATCTTGAGTTTGGTTCATTGCTGCTCTAAAGACATTATTGTTATTCGTTTGAGAATCTGGTAAGTTCTTGAAACCAACCATTAAATATCTTGGTTTAGTAGTGTTAGTGATTGGCCATGTAGTGGATTCTCCAGTTAAAGTTATGCTGCCTATTGTATTACGACGAAGAAATGCTATTTCAATATCTTTAGTTAATGAGTTGAATATTCTCGTTTCTACTTCAATTGATGGTGTTATTACGGGTATGTTAAGAGATTCGATATTTCTAATTTTGCAACTGAAGCATTCTCTCCATAGAATATCTTATCATCATTGATTTCTCTTTGTAGATGAATTTTATATGGTAGCCCTTTGGAAACTTTTCTGTGTTCCAACAGACCGAATAATGGATATAATTTCCAATTTACGTAATTACCCCACCTATTATTCTCAACAACATTATTGTACTGAACTACTCGTTTTTCGAATTCATGATTAGCTGCTCGTGCTACTCTTTCTATTGTGTTTCGAGCAACAACTCTCACTCTAGCTAAATCGGCATCATTTGCAAGATTTCGTACTGGTTCTTTTAAAACATTTCCATTGCCAACATCGGGTATCCAGCCTGAGATTGAATCGAAGTCTTTAGGATATAAAACTGTTTTCAACATTGTATGAAATTCCCCAGGGTGTTTAATGGTTTCTATAGGATTTGAACCAGCTTCCAAAATCATCTCGCTAAATAAGATGGAAAGAAGTTGTTTTCAAACGTTGTATTAGTTTGTGGTACACGATTATGATCTGGGAGTTCCATCTTTTATTTTGAAATCGCATCTGAAATAGGCATCAGATAGAAGCAACCAATTCGATAATAAATTAATCTCGAAAGTGACCCTACCCCCATCATTTAGTTGAGACCTAGAGCCAACGGTTGGTGATATGATAATGTAATCCTCTTTTTTCTTATTAAACGAATAACGATCATATAATTGAAAGATCGGATCTAATCTGTAATTTTTTTCTGCCATTTTAAAGATTTTTAGGTTTTACCCTATTATTTGAAACCATTTACCCCATGGAAATGCAGGAAGAATAACAAAAAAACCAAAGTAAGCTTTAATAAATACAAAGAAATTTAAAACAAACAATTACATGGATATACACTTCTACTAGATATACTCCAGAGTTATCTCCCCTCTTCCACTATTGACAGTCATAGTTCAAGGGTTAAGGGGTTACGACCGCTCCTGGTAGAATCGCTAGATATACTTCAGAGTTATCTCCCCTCTAACACTATTACCAGTCATAGTTCAAGGGTCAAGGGTAAAAGGGTTACGACCGCTCCTAGTAGAATCGCTAGATATTCTTCAGAGTTATCTCCCCTCTTACACTATTGGTAGTCATAGTTCAATGGTCAAGAGGTTACGACCGCTCCTATTAGAATCGCTAGATATACTTCAGAGTTCAAGGGTCACGACCACTCCTAATAGAATCGCTAGATATACTTCATAGTTATCCCCCCTCTTACACTATTGGTAGTCATAGTTCAAGGGTCAAGGTAGAATCGCTAGATATACGTCATATGAATTATATCCTTTTCCAAAACGCTTGTTCTTCACCACTTGTTCTATTTTCGAAATCTCTATCAACAATTTTGAAACCTCGGATATTTGTCACAGAGTTTGCCTGCGATGGTTTAAATATTTTTCGTGATATGAAATGTTGACATCTATTAAACTTGTGTCTGGAATAGAACAAAATTGATATTTTGAAAAACAACAAATAACATATCATCTTAATTCCACCCTCTCGTCTTATGATTAAATTTAACAATGAACATACCTTGATTTTGTATGATTAAATTCCTAATCTTCCAGCGTAACAAAATTGAGACAGTGTTAATAGTTGAGAGTTTAGTCTGTCTATGCCGACGTGGCATGGGCGGAATGTTATATGATAATATAACCATCTGTTACTTAGTGACGTATATCCAGGCAACAATAGTCTAGACAACTGATTGTTACCGGGCGTTAAAGGTAATTATTAAATCAATAATACTCTAGAAAAACTAACCGTGTATAAACTGGTTGGTATTTCACTTTTACTTTTTAAGTAAACAAAAAACAGTGTTACCTCAATCAGTTAAGTTTCTAAATTCTTTGTGTATTTCATCTGCTATTCCCATACCCATTTTCATCTTTGCTTTCAAGAGTTTAAGGATTAATGATCTTTGAATTCTCTCTTTAAAAGTTGGATTTGGAATATTTTCAAGTTCGAATATTATTTGTTTGTCTGCTTCGGGTCTGGATGTTATGTCTTTATTTCTGTATAATATATCGTGTTTAAGTGCAGCGGCGTCAACTCTATTGACTGGCTCTTCACCTGGTTTGGGTTTATCGTTTTGGTCTAATCGCAGATCTAACCTTGTACCTGGACCAGTGTAATTATGACCGGGGAAATGTTTTTCTCCGGGGTATTTTGCCCATGGAAATCCGGGAAGAGAACCTAATGAATTTTGAATGTCGGAACCGAAATAAGTTTTAGGAGTTTGAGCAATTATCATTGACATTTTTATCCAATAATTTTAAAACCTTTTCCTTTTCTTTCTTGTTGTTCTATTCTCCTGTTTCGTAGTTCTCTTATTTGCTGTAATTCTTTCAATTCATCAGACTCTTTCACAGCATCGTTTATTTTAATTCCTGCTTTTGCAACTGACCCAAGAGCTTGCGTTTCAGAAGAAATAAGGGATTTGTTGTTTGAGACAAAGTTGGCTACTTTTGGGATGAGAGATGATAGAGCTGAGAAGAATCCGTCTCCTTCGAATTTGTGTTGTTCGTGTTTTAAAATTAAACTCATTCTGTTTTTAAATGAGTTAATTTAAAGATATTATTGGCCTGGGTCGCTTAGGGATTGGTGAACTTGTACCCCTATAGACTCCGGATTTATTAACTGTGTGCCTGGTTGGTTGTTTGTATGGTGGGGTTGCGGGCGCCAATAAAGCAAAGCAAACAGGTTCACCAAACCACTGGAAAAATTTCCGCTCTTTTAGGAACTTTGTCATTGCAGAGGTCCGAAGAGTAAAACAGGACTTCTTTGACAATCTCGATGGTAAGATAAGTCTGGGCCATTTCCAAGAAAAAAATTGGTGAAAGCTTGTCGAAAACGTAGTCTTTAGAAATAGTTCATCAAAACATTTTCCTCCACTCCTAATCAACAACCAAATTGTCCAAGAAGATGCTGTCAAAGCTGAATATCTAAACAATTTTTCATCAACCAATCAACGCTACCTAATCCCACTCAACCATTTCCAAACTTACCTCAATCTGACCTCTGTATTCCACTTCCCGTTTATACTCCCCAAGATGTAAAAGCTAGTTTAATTCTCTGAAGACAAAAAGGCCTGTGGGAGAGATAACATAACAAATAAGATTCTTAAATGTTGTAGTCCATCTATTACAATGCCTTTGTGTACCCTCTTTAACTTCTTGCAGGACCAATGCTGCTTTCCCACCATATGGAAACAAGCCAACATCATTCCAATATATAAGAAAGGTCATGCTAGCATCTGCTCAAATTATCGCCCGATTTATCTCCCCTCAGCACTCTAGGAAAGGTATTTGAAAAATGCATCTATAAATATCTAAACAATTTTCTCCGACAACAGCAAATACTTTCTGTCTCACAATCAGGGTTTACAGAAAATGACTCTTGCACATACCAGCTCATCAATATATATAACGATATATGCAGTAGCCTTGATGAAGGTCTCGAAACTAAAGCTGTATTTTTTGATATAAGCAAAGCTTTTGACCGCGAATGGCATGCAGGCCTCATTTACAAGCTCCAGTCAGTAGGCATAAGAGGTAAAATGCTATTGCTTCTCTCTTAAAGGGCTTTTATTCTTGATATATATAAATGATATCACCAGTGACATCAAATCTAACATCCGCCTTTTTGCAGATGACACGTCACTGTTCATGGCCATAAATGACCCGACAGAATGCCAAACCCTTCTAAACAATGACCTTAAAACCATCAGCAATTGGGCAAGCTCTTGGAATGTTGTCTTTTGCCCAGAAAAAACGGTCAGTATGACTTTTTCTAGGAAACTATCTCCTTCTTCATTTTTACTCTATTTCGACAATAACATATTAGAAGATTCTGAGCATCACAAGCACCTTGGTATTACATTCAGCCGGAATTGTAAATGGGATGAACACATTGTCAGCCTCATACGCAAAATCAGTCAGTAAAATGTTTTCGTTCTATGAAATATAGACTTTCCAGGAAATCTCTTGAACATATCTACAAATCGTATATCCTACCCCTGTTTGACTTTGGTGATGTATTATATGATAACTGCACAGAAACAGACTCATGTCGACTAGAAAATCTTCATCTCGACTGCCGCAGATAATAACCGGTTTAGTCCGTGGTACGTCAAACTCGTTGCTTTATAGGGAATCAGATTTCTGTTCACTTGAACAAAGTCGAGATCAACATCGCCTTATTCTCTATTATAAGATGATCCATAACAGTACCTTAGTACACTTGTCCCAGATCATATGAGATCCTCCTATGACTACAATACACGTCATGGTCACAAGCTACGAACACTTTTTACTAGGTCTAAACTCTACTCTGATTCATTCTTACCATCCGCTATCCGTGATTGGAACGCGTTACCCGAAAACAAATCTTCATTATGTAGTACAAAAGAATTCAAACTACAGATAAAATCCTTTGCGTCTCCACCATCGTATTATTTCCTTGGCGAAAGATCGGTCCAAATAGTGCACTGCAGACTCCGAAATAGAATGAGTGACCTTAACCTACACAAGTTCTTAAGACACGTTGGTGACTTCTCACCCTGTACATGTGGACATCCCATTGAAGACTCGGGACATTTTTTGCTCTTCTGTCCGAAATATCAGGCCCAGAGAAGAGATACATTACTCACACTACCACAGCACCATCTAGATGAAAAAACTCTATTGCATGGTTCAAATCACCTCAGTGAAGTTGAAAATGCACATATATTCCAAACAGTACATGATTTTATAAGACTATCAAATAGATTCGTTATTTAACCATATCGTATTTGCCCTTTAAGTGATATTTTAAAATCTTGGTCTTTGTTATCTAACCTCAACCATATATATATATATATATATATATATATATATATATATATGGTTGATACAATATATACATTTGTAAATATCTCTTACTTACCTTAGTGGTGGATCTTGTATACCTTCCCTAGTTGTCCACATACCTTAGTTGATGATCTTGCTTACTAACCCCACTGTTGATCTTGTATACCTACTAGTACATACCTACTAGTAACCTTGAAGTATATATACATTAATTGCTGATCTTGTTTACTTGCCCTAGATGCTGTCCTTGTATACTTACCTTAGATGCTGATCTTCTATAAATAATCTAATTGCTGATCTTGCTTCTTACCCTAGATGCTGTCCTTGTAACTTACCATATTTGTGGTCATCCATTACTTACCACAGCTGCTGACGTTATATACCCACAATATTTGTGGATGTCTCCGATTTACCCTAGAGATGGATAGTGCTTGCATACTGTTGTTGTTGATCTTTGTTACTTACCACTCCTACTGGTACTGTATACTTAGTTGTATTCCTATCCTATTTGCTGATCTCATATACTTACAGCAGTGGTGGATCTTGAAATTCTTATCCTAGTTACTGATTCTGTATATGTACCCTAGTTATTGTTATGCATATATACCATAGATGTAAATATATACCATACCTGTGAATAAATCTTAATTAAATATGTGTACATTACCTTATGCCATTTCACCATTTACCGGTTTACCAAAAATTTTTTTTTACCAAATTGATCATCCAGTCTATGTACACTACACCCCCCTTTACCATATGCCGACTCACCATTTCATATACTTAAAACCTAAACACCCTACATTTCATAAATTCTTACACTAAAAAAAGACCTAAACTCACTATAAATTATTACACCCTAAACACCCTTACATTTCATACACCAAAAAACACCTTCAATCAATTTCCTACATTCCATCAAAAAAAGCATATTAAAAATACCCTTATATACAATAACATCCTTGTTTCGCTTAACGTCCGGTTTTTTAATAGCCTCGTTTTAAATAATGTTATTTTTAGCCTAGAAACTTCTAAAAAAGGGAAATAACTCTTTTTTTGGATAAAAAAAAACAGGACACAATTTCTTCGTTAAATTAACTCATTTAAAAATAGGATGAGTTTAATTCTAAAACACGGACAACACAGATTCGAAGATTATTCGGGCGACGGTATCTTTTCTTCATTATTTTCTCTAAGTAAAACAATAATTCCAAAAGTAGCTAGCTTTGTTTCAAAAAACAAATCACTCATTTCAACCGGAGCGAAAGCCATCGGCTCAATCGCGGAAGCGGGAAAGCGTGTAAGCGACACAGTGAAACAATCTAACGAGTTGAAAGAATTAGAGCTAATAAGAGAACTTAAACAGGAGATTAGAAGAAAGGAAAGGAAATGGTTTTAAAGTTATAGGATAAAAATGATTGTCGCTCACGCTCCAAAAACTTTTTTCGGTTCAGGAGATATACAAAAACCATTGAGTTCTCTTCCTGGATTTTCATGGGCGAAATATCCCGGAGAAAAACATCTTCCGGGTCATAATTACACCGGTCCAGGTACTAGGTTAGATCTGCGATTAGACAAAACGATAAACCCAAACCAGAGGAAGAACCAGTCAATAGAGTTGACGCCGCTGCGCTTAAACACGACATACTATACAGAAATAAAGACATAAACTTCAGACACGAAGCAGACAGACAAATGATAATCGAACTTGAAAATATTCCAAATCCAACTTTCAAAGAGAGAATGCATGGGGCTCTGATCATAAAACTGTTAAAAGCAAACGCATAATGAAGGTAAAGCTGTAGTTATTGAGAGATATAATAGAACCCTAAAAAATAAATTATTCAAAAAGTTCACGGAATTGAAATCTCAAAAATGGCTTAAAATATTACCAGAGGTTGTAGATGAATACAATAACAAAATTCATTCATCTATAGGTGTCACACCAACACAAGCCTCGAGTAATCCAAATATTATAAAGTCAATTAACGCGCAACATAACTCCGAAAATGAAATAAAGAATTTAAATACCAAACCCAAATCTAAAGTCGGAGATCTAGTTCATTCTGTTCTAGATGGTTTTATTATTAACACCTCAGATATTTTTGATATGATTGAATTTCGTCCATCAAGACGATTTTTTTTCCCATGAAAAGTTATAATTGAATTTTTCAGGTAAAAGTTGAATCAATATTCTTCAGACAAAACTTTAGTTTATATAAAAAATTTAACGCTCAAAATATTCTTCAGTTTATCAATGGTACAAAAAATGTAGAATTTAAAGAATTTGAAATTAACGACGAAAACAGCACGCCTCGTCACTTATATGAAATTAAAACGAGTGGAAAATATATAGATAAGTTAAGAATGTTAATCATACCAGATAAAGAAGAAGATGAATTTACATTGAGTAATTTTGATATGTTATTGGAAACGGAAACTCCACCATCAACAAGTATTATTAGAAATCCAGAACCACAAAAAGAAGGAATATGAGTAATGAGTTTTTACGAACATCAGACTTTGAATACGTAAAACTATATTTTGTTAATAATGATATATTTACCTCAATTGATATTCATAAAAGTCAACAAAAACAAAAAATTTTGATACCAACAATAAGAGATGATGTTGATGCATATGTTAATATATCAATCTCTATTGAAAAACCAAAATTTGCACCTCCTCTGAATAAGATTAATGATTCGAAAGAACAAATGTCGTTAATATCAGTAGAAGTTTTTATTGATGATGGTAAACAAGAAACATTTCATTTAATTTAATTACCTAAAAAATGGAACTAGAAAGCAGACAAAACTACATGATAGAAAAACAAAACGAACTAAAAGAAAAACTAACTTCCGATGGTGTTCTAAAAGAAAAGAAAACGTTTAAGGGTTACTCTTACTATAAGATTAAGGTGGATGATTATATCCAGTTAGCTAGTGGACATGACGTAACGAATGAATTGGATAAACCATGGGGGAAGTGTTTTACTGATGGAATATGTAGAAGAAAATAGTAGTAGTCTGTAGCTAGTCATTTTGTTTACTCTTTTGTGCGTCTGGCAGATCAAGTCTAAACTCATATCGAATTTAACGCAAAGATTTGACAGCAGTAAAATTACACAAACTCAGGTAAATTAACACTTAATTTAACGATAATACTATTTCTTGTAAAGTTAAACGATAAATTTATCCGTTATCATGAATCGTTTGCCGTGTCATGCTTTTTAAACATTTTCTATCGATGTTTTAAAATACTTATAATTGTCTATTAATAGCTGTAAACAACTTCCGTTATGGTACTCATTTAATCTAGACTACATTATCGTTTTCGATACGTATTATTTGTAATCTGCCAGACTTAGATATATATTTTATAATTAGGCTAATTAAGCATCTTATGTAAAATTATTATTTTCTAAATGTGTATTCATATGTTTGATGACCTTTAAAATTGTTGTTGGATGTTTGTACTTTGTTTTATTATTTAAAATAATGTCTACCTCTGTTGTACAAACCATTTATATTTTGATTCAATATTCTTTATACTGTATTTTCTACTTCTTAGTTGGGTCTGTCGATTGAGGGAACAATAGTCTACGACGTCTAGAACGCAACAATTTGACTTTCATAACGGCAGCACCCACGGTAACATAACGATTACCTCTCTCAGTCGTGGCACATGAAAATTGTCTTCACACTAAGGCTGAGTAGAGTATGGTGGGTAGAGAGCAACAAGGGAACTTGGTTGATCGCTATATACCAAGACCGAATTATTTCGGCACAATACTGTACGTCAATGTTGTATTTAATTTATGCATATTAAATAGTTCGATGTTTTGATGCTGTAAATAAACCTGATTTTGTTGAATTAGTGTGTTTTTACATCGCATCTTGAGGTTTCTGTTCCGGTGTTGCTGTATTGGAGGATTGTCACGAATATACCACTTTTAAGCTGGTAACGTGCCCACTTTAACTCTATCATATTGCGGTGCCAATTCAAATTGGAGTAGTGTTCCAAAGAATTGGGTTTTGGCAAGAAGTACTACTCCCTGACGCCCAGAGTTTTAGAGAAGTAGAACATTTCTCTTCCTATCCCTTTACTGGCGCGTTACAGATTTTGGTGGCAGAGGTGGGATATTCAACAATCAAATTGTATTTGATAAAGAAATCTCACCAAACTACTTGTCGGAGAGGCAGTTTATTGATTTGTTAATAGCTGATGACACACCCCCTTATTCGACAGACCCGAAGGACCGAAGACCAGGTCCGGGAAGACAAACACTTACAGACATTCTTGCTTCGTTTGTTAATGTTAGAGAACAAACCAGAGCACATCGACAGATGCAAGCTGAAGCAGTTCCAGAACAGTACGAGACGGTCAAGGGGCCAGACCGAAGGTATCAGAGTACGTACCGCCTCGCCGGTTGTATTTCACGCCTGATACTGTGTCCGAAGAATATGATATGGCTGGACGAGATGGTCGCACTAGTTATGGAGGGTCCGGTGGAATATCGAGGTCTAATCACAGAAAACCTATATTGGCCGCAAGCAAGTACGATGGTTCAACGCCTCTAATGGATTACAAAGCCTTTCAGGCATGTGTAGAGTTCAACGAATGGACGCGAGAGGAGCAAGGTTTACATCTGTCCGGCAGTTTAATGGGTTCTGCTCAAGAAGTGTTAAGCTCTTTACCATTAGAGGACAGATATGACTATGATTCACTGAAGGATGCTTTGGAACGACGGTTCCAGCAAAAAAATCAAACGGAATTGTATAGAAGTGAGTTGGAGAACCGTAGGCAGAATCCGAAGGAAAAACTTACTGAGTTGGGACAAGCTGTGAAGCGGATGGTGGTATTGGCCTATCCAACTGCTGAACAAAGTCTCCAGGATGTTTTGGCTAAAGATGCATTTTTGGACGCCCTCCAAGACGATATGGATATGGTGTGGAAAATCCAACAAAGTCGACCATCAAACCTTGAAGAAGCAACACATGTTGCCATAGAACTAGAGTCATTTTGTGTATCTAACGAAACAAAAAGGCCTCGACAAAAATACACAAGAACGCTAACAGAGCCAAAAACCGATGATGGTCATACAGTTGAAAAATTGATGAAGCAAATAGCAGGTTTAACTGACGGAATGAAGACATTACAGTTGAAGTTGGAAAAAATGGGACCAGATAGAAAGAAGCCTGACGGAGTTCGAAACATGACACAAAACAACCATTCTCAATCTCCCGTGGGTAAACATTTCACCTCACCTAATGGCCTCACTTTTTGGCCTGCATAGAAGATATACAGAGCTACTGTCTTATCGACACTGGGGCAAGTTTAACATTGATATCAATGGACATGTTTGATAAACTTCAACACAAGCCTCGTTTATGGAAATTGGCTCATGATTTGTGTCAAGCAGATGGGAGGAAACTCGACATTAAAGGAGCAACCAATCTGAACATTATCACAGATGATGTTATCTGCAACCACCAAGTTGTAATTGCTGATATAGGTTCACAATGTATATTGGGCCTGGATTTCCTTAAAAAGCACAATTGGAAGCTTGACATGTCAACAAAAGAAATTGAACTATGTGGTAAGAAGTTGGATCTTCATATGGAGGAAGGTTTGAAACTTTGCTGTGTAACGTCTATAAGAAATATCACCATCCCAGCTGGTGTGGAGATTATAATTCCTGGCAGAATCCACGAGGAGGTGCAAAACAGTGTACATGGAGGTACAGCTTTGATCGAGCCACACCCTCATCTTATTGCAAAGGATGGACTGATAGGTGCACATAGTTTGGCAGTTGTACCACATAACTCTTCGACCGTTCCTGTTAGAATAATGAACGTGTCTACTGAGCCAGTCACTATATTCAAATCGAGTAATATAGGAAAGCTTAGTATGATTGACCAGATTATAAAAGATAAGACCACAAAGCAGTCGCAAAAGCAAAAGTTACCTGGCCATCTCCATGATCTGTTTCAAAGGTCCAAGACAAAACTGGACCAAAACCAAGAAAAATTAAAACAGTTCATGGTAGATAATGAATCATCGTTTGCCAAAGATGACTTCGAATTAGGCAGGACGAATGAAGTGATGCATAAGATCAATTGTGGTTCTGCACTACCTATTAAGCAAAGACAAAGGCGTGTGCCTCTTCATCAGAAAAAGGAAGTCGAAGATGCACTTAAAAAGATGTTGGAACAGAATGTCATCGAAGAATCGTGCAGTCCATGGGCAAGTCCAATAGTGTTAGTTCGCAAGAAAGATGGTACTACCCGGTTCTGTATAGACTACAGAAAGTTGAACAATGTGACGGTGAAAGACGCATATCCTCTTCCCCGCATTGATGAAACGTTAGATGCGTTGCATGGAGTATCCTGGTTTTCCACACTTGACTTGGCAGGTGGCTATGGATCCGGAGGATATAGCTAAAACAGCATTTACTACCTACCAAGGATTGTATCAGTTCAAATTATGCCATTCGGACTTTGTAATGCTCCATCCACATTTGAAAGATTGATGGAACGGGTATTGGCTGGATTGCAGTGGGAGATATGCCTCATATATTTGGACGACGTCATTGTATTTTCAAAAACCTTCGATAAGTATTTAGCTGATTTAATACAAGTTTTTAGTAGGTTAAGAACCGCTGGTTTGAAACTGAAGGCAAAGAAATGTTTCCTATTCCAGAAGGAAGTTCAATATTTGGGCCACATAGTTTCTGAAAATGGAATTTCAACAGATCCTGCTAAAATAGAAGTGGTAAAAAATTTTCTTTGGTTTGTGTTCTTATTACAGAAGATTTATTCATCAATTCTCCAAAGTAGCTTCACCTTTAAACAAACTTACTCGTAAAGACCAACCATTTCACTGGGAAGCAGACCAAGAAGATGCATTTAATTCACTTAAAACAAAACTTGTGACTGCTCCGATATTGGCTTATCCTGAACCTTATACAGCATTTATTCTGGACACCGATGCTAGTGGCTATGGTATTGGAGGTGTACTCTCTCAAGTTTTTGACAAACAAGAGCAAGTGATAGCTTATGCTAGTAAGAGTTTGTCGAATGCTGAAAGGAAATATTGTGTAACAAGGAAGGAATTGCTAGCAGTCGTGAAGATGATCAAATATTTCAGACCATACCTATATGGAAGACCATTTCTGGTAAGAACTGACCACGGAGCCTTGACATGGTTAATGAATTTTAGAAATCCGGAAGGACAGGTCGCAAGATGGCTAGAGATATTGGCTGGGTATGATTTCACAATACAACATCGTCCTGGCCTTGTTCACAGGAATGCGGACGGGCTTTCCAGAAATCCCTGTGTCCAATGTGGAAGAAACGAGCAAAGAGAAAATGAAAGTCGTCTTCGGTCGATAACACTAGATAATTTGTCATACTTGCAAGAGCGACAAGATGCTGACAACGACCTATCAAAACTCAAAAGCTGGCTCGATTCAAAAAGAAGACCCGAGTGGAAGGAAGTATCTCCTGAATCGAAACCTCTTAAAAAATTGTGGTCGCAGTGGAAAAATCTTGTTATACAAGATGGAGTATTATATCGACAAACGGTGGATGCCAAAAATTCAACGCTTCAAGTAATTGTTCCCAAAACTGAAATCAAAGAAGCAATGCGACTTGCACATGATGCACCAACCGGAGGTCATTTAGGTGTGCGTAAAACTATATCAAGGTTAAAAGCTAGATACTACTGGCCTGGAAAGAATGCAGATATAAAGAAATATGTTGCTGATTTTTTGATCTGTGGGAGCAGTAAAACACATGCTGAACTAAGTTCACATGGAGTCGGAGCACCGTTGGAAAGAATGGCAGTTGATATCATGGGTAGAGTAGATCCACCTACTTCATCTGGAAATTGCTACATTTTAGTAGTAAGTGATTACTTTACAAAGTGGACAGATGCCTTTCCCATGTCTAATATGGAAACTTCAGCTATAGCGAAGTTGTTAGTTGAGAATGTATTCTTACGAATTGGAATCCCGTATCAACTTCACATCGGCCAGGGTCGACAGTTCGAGAATAAGTTATTTGCAGAGATGTGTGGACTGTTGGGAATAGAAAAGACAAGGACTACCGCATACCATCCGCAGTCTGAAGGTTTGGTGGAAAGATTTAATAAAACATTAAAAGAAATGCTATCGGCCTACGTCAGAACGAAAGAAGATGACTGGGACGACTACCTTCCCTATGTTATGTCTGCATATAGAAGTACCACACAAGAAAGCACGAAAATGTCGCCAAATTTCCTCATGTTCGGTAGAGAAGTATGTACCCCACTTGAATTGATGTTTGGTATGCAACGAAGAGATGTCCACATACAGTACCAAGTTACGAGATAGGTTTAATGAGGCTTATGAAACAGTCAGACTAAACTTAAAGCAATCCGCATCTCGACAGAAAAAGTACTATGACACTCGAGCTAAAAAGAAGTCATTTAATGTGCAAGACATGGTTTGGCTGTACACACCAACTAAATCGCCTGAAATACCAAATAAATTTCAAAAATACTGGAAGGGACCGTATGAGATACTGGAAAAAACATCAGATATTACTGTTAAGTTAGACATGGTAACAACTTCCAAAATTGTTCATGTTGACAGACTAAAGAAATATTCAGGCACATTATAAACAGATGAAGATGCTGCAGAAGATGAAGATGAAGATGAAGATAAAGACATTGATGATTCACAAATTATTTTTAAAAATCCATGTACTTATGTAACTAGGTCTGGCAGAATTTCCAAAAGACCCTCGTATTTTAACGAATATGTTTTGTGAAGATAGTTAAAGAAACACTTTTTGCTATTTTTACAGGGAATATGGATACAGTTAGTGAGTACCGGTACTGCCGATGGTGCGGAAAACTTTTCGTGAGACATGAAATTGGTAACCACCAGAGGAGATGTTCACAAAAAGAAAAATATACCTGCTACTTGTGTTCTAGAAGATACACAAGAAAAGATAGTCTGCGGAACCATCTTAGCCGAGAACATCCCGGAGTTTTGCAGACCAAAATACAACCCAAACTAAAAAGCGTAGTAAACAAGGTAGACTCCATGACATCTAATAAATCTAAACAGCCAAATAAATTTTGCCCGAGAACGGAAAGCAAGGCACCAATGACTATTTCCGTTGACAAACGAAAAAACAATCCAGAAGTGAATTCGACCAAAAAGCCGGCGAAGAAGTTGGGTGATAAAAAACTTGAAGAAGAACTTATTGTATCATCTTCTTCTTCGGATGATGATCTAGGAGAAGATCCACAGATTATCATTGACGTCGTGCCTACCGACACAGAGGGAGCAGAAGGCAGTAACATGATATTAGATCCAGCCACTGGAAAATTCAGAAAAATGGAGACGCGCTTCAAAGACATGGCGTGTCAGGTAAACCAGATTATGAGCTACACCCTGGAACTGGTTTTCGAAGGCATGGGTATTGTAGAAGAAAATAGTAGTAGTCTGTAGCTAGTCATTTTGTTTATTCTTTTGTGCGTCTGGCAGATCAAGTCTAAACTCATATCGAATTTAACGCAAAGATTTGACAGCAGTAAAATTACACAAACTCAGGTAAATTAACACTTAATTTAACGATAATACTATTTCTTGTAAAATTAAACGATAGTTTTAGCCGTTATCATGAATCGTTTGCCGTGTCATGCTTTTTAAACATTTTCTATCGATGTTTTAAAATACTTATAATTGTCTATTAATAGTTGTAAACAACTTCCGTTATGGTACTCATATAATCTAGACTACATTGTCGTTTTCCATACGTATTATTTGTAATCTGTCAGACTTAGATATATATTTTATAATTAGGTTAATTAAGCATCTTATGTAAAATTATTATTTTCTAAATGTGTATTCATATGTGGCACGTGACAATTGTCTTCACACTAAGGCTTTGTAGAGAGCACCACGGCAACTTGGTTGATCTCTATATACCAAGACCGACTTATTTCGGCACAATATTGTACGTCAATGTTGTATTTCTTTTATGCATATTAAATAGTCAGATGTTTTAATGCTGTAAATAAACCTGATTTTGTTGAATTAGTGTGTTTTTACATCGCATCTTGGGGTTCCTGTTCCGGTGTTGCTGTATTGGAGGATTGTCACGAATATACCACTTTAAGC